ATAGATATTTTGTGTTAAGAAACAAACCTTTCATCAAAAGAAGAAGAAATGACAAAAGAGGGAGATGCTGATCACCTAAACAACCAAGGAGACGGAGATTTGACTCTTAAGCATATAAATGCATAAACTTGTTGATTTTGATTTTTTTGTGTTGTATATATATAATTTTTTAAATTACGAAATTACGAAATGAGAATCCTATTCATAGGATTACAAAAAAAAAAAGAAAAAAGTTTCCAATGGGCTATAAGAGAGCTTAAGCCATATTTTTTTAACAAAAAATTGTTGTATAAAAATGGTATGTATATATTTTAAAAATATGTACTTTAGTAAATGTGTCACTGTGTTTGTATTCTAGATTTTAAAAAAATTATGTCACTGTGTCTTTATCGCGTCGTATCCATGCTTATTAGGTGTCCCTCATGTATTAAGAAAGTAGTCCAATTGGTGTTCTCTGGTTTTAGACATATTGGACATAAACTTTATTTTAAATAAGTTTTGGAAAATAGATTGGCACAATTTAACTCATCTAGGAGGACTCCACAAGAATTGGTATATTATCTGGGATAGTTACAAGGTTTAGAGCTCCATAATTGGCACTGAACCTCTAGTTCCTCTGACTGAGCATACTGGACTGGGGTAAGGGCAGGTGTTTCGTGCGATCCTTAAGATATCTGGTATCCCTGACCAAGCATCCAATCGTCCTATCTTGAATAATGAGCAAAAGATACGATTGAATATTACAGCTATTGTTGGTTTTAATGTTATAGCATGATTCCTAACGGACTTATGGTTGGAGGAAGGCTTGCAAGAGGTAGGAATACATCGGCTAATCATTGTAAAACCCATTGACATTCTCCTCCATGCTCAATTTTTTGGTGCCATAGCAACTTACTTTAACTCTGATCACAATGAGTTTTTATCAGGATTCTGCCCGCAAGGAAACTGGTGACCTTTTAAAATGGTCTCCTCTTGTAAATTCTATCGTCGGCTTAACTATCCCCAGTTTGTGCATAGTAATTTAAAGTGACGTACATTAACTTCAACCTTTACAAGCCCCAATGGTTATATGATTATCATTTTTAGAAATGATTCTGCAGACGTATTGAACAATCCCTTTATTTTATTCTAGTATAGATCATAATCCTATTGGGCTATTTTATATAGTTTCGAGTTTGTGGAATATTTAATTTTAATTGGCAACCTTTAAGGCTGACATGATTAGTAACCTGCCTTATAGACGGAAGGCTTGAATTCCTGCCCTCACTTCTGTAATGTTATATTTCTAAAAAGATATATCTAAGTTTAATTATACTTTATTCTTCTGGCCTTGAAGATGATTCACTTTAAATGGTTGTTAATATAGTATCAAATATCTTTCAGGCAATCGAACAACAAGGTGGAGCACCTCACCTTAACCGTGAACTTGTTTCTGAAGCAAAAGGAGTTCCGAGAAAAAAGTTTGTTATGGATCCTTCATTGGAGGACAAGATTTGTGATCTTTACGATCTGTTTGTTGATGTACTGATTCACATTCTGAGTGACGTTCAAATATTAACTTTTCTGATTGGCTAAGCTTTCTTACGCCTCTGTTTCTTTATGATTCTAGGGACTGGATGAGGATGCTGGTCCACAAATCAGAAAGTTGTACGCCGAGGTAGTTGTTCTTTCCTTTATTCTTAAATTTCTCAATCTGCTATTTACATCCAATTGCTGCCTCCATCATTTTGGGGAGGTGCTACGATGATATTAGCAAGCGGTCACAAAACACATCACAAAAGCAGTCAGTTCGTATATTTTTCATGGATACTTAATTCTGTCAGTTAATTTAATGGAACGGTTTGTTATATAAAAGAACGTTTTTGCTTAACTACTACTGCACACGCTTACTTTGCGTTAGATTATTAATTGACAGTCTTTTTTTATCAGTTGTGTAGTATCTCTCAAATTTTTCTGAAGTTCCTTTCAATATAATGCAAATCTTCTTCTTGTCAATATCATAGTTTTTAAACTCGTGCAATATTAATCTGCGTCATTGACTATCATCTCTTCAGCTTGCAGAATTGTGGCCAAATGGGTTCATGGATAATCATGGGATCAAACGTGCGATATGTAGGGCAAAAGAGAGGCGGGGAGCGTTGCATGGCAGACATAAGGTACTGGTACTCTCCCTTATTTTTCGTTCCCTACTTAAGTTATCAGGAATTTTGCTGAAGTTCTACTTTCTGATAATTGATATGGAAGTGAAACACTCGCCTCTTATTAGGAATGTACACTCATCCCCTTGAGTTGATATTCTATCGATTTAAGATCACGGTTTCTGGATTAATATATTGGCTGTCCCTTATGATGTTTTCTTTATGCACTCATTCAATTTTGTAGGACCAAGAGAGAGTCAAGAGGAAAAAGATATTACCACCTGGAGTAGATGAGACCATTAGAACTGAGATCGGTTCAGTTACTCAGCCACAGTACGCCCGAGAGCGATTAGCCTCGGAATCAGGCTTACAGCCATCCCTAGCAACCAAGCCTGCATCTGTTTCGACAGTTACAATGGCCCAGCTACCGAATCCTTCCATGAGTGTTGAAAATTTAGACAGGCTAAAATCCGAGAAGTTGAAGGGAAGCTCAAGCAGTTCCTACGACGATACGAGAATGTTTGATGGTGCGTTAACCAAGAAAAAGACGAAGAAAAAGGCAGAGCTGGAGTTTGATGAAACAAATAATCGACCCGAAAAGGCGTCCATCCAATATGGAGATGAAAGACACAAGTCCACGAACAAGCCTACCGCCAGTCTTCCTCTTCCTCTTAAGGCAAACACTCAGTCAGCTGCTCCTAAAAGCCTGGAACAGTCGAGCTAACATGATACTACTTCTCATGAGTCTAATCTACACCATAATAATTTCCATCACACATCGCCACTCCACTCCATCCCACAGAATTTTCTCCCCCCTCCTTTCTCTTACTCGGGTTTCATTTATCGACCCACGAAAAGCCGAAAAGAAGAAGCCATTTTTGTAATTACATGATCGATTGTGCATGGGGCTTTCTGAATTAGAAATGTATCTTAAATTAGGGAGAGCTGAAGTGCAATTTTATTTACCAAGTAGTCAATTTGAAGGCCCTCTTTTTTCAACTCTTAAGGTTCAAATTATTTGTTTTTCCTGGCTAACTTTCCTCTACTTTGATGTTGATAATAGCTTCTGTGGCAGTTTTAAAGCTCGAAACTCACACGTCCGATATGTGGCGAGCATCTGGGATCATCAAGAAAGCTACTCGCACCGATAATTCTTAAGGTTTGATCAATTAGTCTACACTAATTAAGTTTACGCTTTTAATTAAGGTTTTATTAGAAGTACATGAGGGCTATTAATTGAGTAAATATTTGAGATGGATGAATTGCATCGCCCTTCGTCGAGTTATTAAAACCATTTGTTTAAATTTATGCAAAAACAATAATGAAATTAAAATACTTCAGCAATGTATTTATCTGTTTTAGCAAATTAAATTAACAAATTAAAACCAAAGGTTTAGTAACAAGTTAAAACATAATTATATTATATTACTTTTTGAATCTTCATTAGTATTTTAAAATTTAATATTTATTGACTACTTAACAAATATATTATATTACTTCTAAAAATAATTTTAAATTAGTTAATTTTTTAAAAACAATTATTAATACTTTTAAACAATGGAAAATGACATTTATCCTTTAATTTAAATTTTACATATTTAAGTATGTTAAAAATCATTTCTTAGTTATCATACGTATATTATTATCTCTAGCCCTTTTTTTTTTTTTTTTTTTTTTTTTTTTTTTTTTTTTTTTT